CCATGATCAATCCTTTCTAATTTGTTTTTCCTTTTGGGTTTTGGTGTGAAAGGATGGATGGATCTACGGGAAGGAAGAAGAAGCACGGTGGAGTGAGAATATGTTTTCTGTTTTTTCTTTCTCCCTGCCATGATAAATTATTTTAGAGGCCAATCATATTCAAATTCAATAATAATAATAATAATAATAAATTTGCAAAGCTTTTTAATTATTTTTTCCTGTTTTTATGTCAAAGGATAGACTCCAATCCGAGATTTGTGGCAATTAGTGGTTTTATATATATATATATGACTTGCAAAATTTAAGAATGTTTTCTCAAGAAAACACTCCAAAGTCCAAATCAATAACAACACGTGAATTCTAGGCAACTATATATGCTTTTAACTGAAGAATAAGAGAGATAATATAAAAATAAATTAATTATCTTAAATGTTGATAATTATAAAAATATTTATAATTTCATTTATGACACTAATATTATGTAAAAACCTTTCATTGATCCACTTGTCCATATGTAATTGGTTTTTCCACAAAAAGGCTCTTTCTTAAAAACCTAACCTTAAACCTTAAGTTCATGCAAAAGTAGATCACTATTTCAAAACTATTCCTCCTTCAGTGATTTTGAGGTGTGTTGAAAAAATCACTGAGAAGTCTGCCTTCGATAAGACACCCGACCCCAGACATTGAATTTTATTTTCCATGCGTTTTAGCAGTAAGGTCGAGGTCGTGGTTCCTGTACAAGATGAGAAGTTTGCCCTAAGCCACACGACGTTATAGGTCGTAAAGCTACCCCTTCCACCGGCCTGGAAATCTCACCTCCCTGGTGTCCTCCACGAGATTGAGAATCAACAAGCTCGGGTATGCGCATGTTCTCCAATGGACGAGCTGAAACTTGGTACTACTTTAAGAAAGAATACTTTGAGAAAATAAAGGATGAGTTTTATTTCCTCACTTCTTTAGAAGGCAAGGGGTCAATGAATCCTCCATTTCTTCTTTAAAAGGCCAGCCATCAATTGATGACCCGATCCATTCTCTCTCCCTAATAAACTAATTCATGAAAAATAAAGTTATGATAAAGGCATCTAGTCTTCTTGATAGGAAAGAGTTTGGTAAAAAGAAAATGCCTATATGATATTATTATATATAGTATATAATTTCATATACAAAAAACAATTACTATTTAATATTGTACATGGGTTATATATAATTAATTTTTTTATTTAAAGGATTTTCTTAACTTATATTTTAAGAATATATTTTAAGATGTACTAATTATATATATTTTTATTAATTTATATAGAAAATTAAAAAAATAATTTTATTTTAAACATTAATATCATGTGGGTATTTTTAATTAAATAATTAATAAAATTAAAATAAGCTTTTATTTTTCTAAAACAATTAATAAAAGAAATATA